GAGGTTAGATAAGCATCTAGCTGGGGTCATCTGAACCCAGCCCTCTTTCCTGCCTATGCAGGGGGCCAGACTCGATCTATTGAGGTCCCTTCCGACCCTAACATCTATGAATCTATGAACAAGGATCTGAGAGGATGCCAGAGAGTACAAGCCAGAGGTAGACTGAGGAGAGACATGGGTTAAGAGGCAACAGAGAGGGAATTTACCAGAGGAAAGAGATGGTAGGATGAAAGAAGAAAAATAGGTTAGAGGCATAGGAGGCTGTGAGAAAGAATATGAGCTGAGCAGGTGGAAATGTGAGCATGAATGCGATTCTAGCAGGGAGGAAGATAAGATAGTTCTAAGAAGAGCTAGCGGGTGATAGGCAGCTCTCTGTCCTGCACAGTGGGGAAGAAGTGAATTAATCCACTTTGAGCAGGTTTCATTGTGACCCTGATGCAGAGCTAGCCTTAGTAGTGGGCAACATGGGTGAACACCCCTGGGGCTGGGAGAGCACCATACAGACATACAGAGTCATCCGCATACACACACAATAGCACCCAGCCCCACCATGTCAGTGGTGGTGCTGCAGGCAGAGGCAGGCAGGCAGAGGTGTGGGGTGCAGTCCAGCGGGGAGGTAGAGCTGCCCACACTGCTCAGCCCACCCCTCCACCTTCAGCCGCTGCTCAGGAAGAGTCACGCCAGGCAGTGTGTGGGTTCACCTCCCTGCTGGACTGTGCCCTGTGCCCCTGCCCATCTGCTTCTGCCTGCAGCAGTGTCACTGACTGAGGAGGGGGTGCCAGGGGTGGCAGCGGGGGGAGAGGAGGAGGTGGGGCACCCTTCATAAACTAGATTGTTCATCGTGTTAGTCTGGAGGTCAGGCAGCTAGATGTGGGTATGGGTGGTGGAGGCCAGCATCAAAAAACTTTGTAAAGCAGGAACAGGCAAACCCAAAACCATCCCCAGTGGATGCAGAGATGTGTCTGGGTTGGAGGGAAGGAAACAGCTATAATCTAACTCTGACAAGACAGTGTAATAAAGCTTTAGGAATTTGAAGCCAATCCTGTGCTAGGATAGGTCTGATGTGTGTTTGTTGGATGTATGGGGCTGGCCACCTGTGCAAGTCACACATGCTACCTGAGATGAAGTAGCCTTGGAAAACAGTCTCTGAGTACCTAGCTTCATACCCTGCCTCTGCAGCTTGGATAAGAGCCCTGAGGTCTGGGAGAGGTGGGAAGCTAACAGCTCCCCTCTCCCCATACACTCAACAGGAGTAAGAGAAAGCCTAGACCCATCTCTGGGGTGGGGAGATAGGAGCAGAGGTCATATGATGGAAATGGAGGGAGAAATCGCCATAACATTATTGAACTTGATTTCACTCTCTCACCTCATGAGCGCTCCTCTTTCCCACTTCTTACTGAGGGTTGCTTGATGGCTGGTCTCCTGGATAGGCTGTGAAGAATGTGCCTTTAGCAGCTCCTTGATCATTCAAAGAAAAAGCAGCCATAAAGAGATGGGGAACCACATGGAGCCTTCAGACCTGGCCCCATTGGTAGGAGCCTTTGTAGGACAGGAATTCTTTGGGTCATCTCTCCTGCTGCTTTTAAGCAGAGAATACCAATACCCAAGAAGGCAGAAGACTCCTTAGGCTGGCAGGAGGTTTTGGGAGTAGTGGTATGGTTATTTCACTTCACCTCCTCTCAGCCTAAAGCTGTCTACTCCCCTGTCTTTGCCCTAGCTAAAGGGAAATTGGGGATGGATGATGAGTGAACTTAGGGGGCAGAGGGAATGGGTGGCCCCTCCTTTGCTCTCAGTGCTGCCTTGATGCAATAGAGAATAGCAGCTGAGGATGGAAAGGAGAAACTGGAGAAAGAGGAACTCATGGGCCTGATCCTCCACTGATTTCAATCAGTCTCTGACAGTGTGCCCTAGCTGGGTGTCTCACATCTGAGCTGAAGGTCAATTGGGACTGTTCTGACTTTTCAGTTCAATCTCTTGCATAGCACAGGGAACAGACGCTCCCCAGTGATCCCTGCCTTGTTCCAGGCTCACAGGCAAGTTGCATATTAACGGCTATTCCCTGTAAGAACACTACCCAGCCCCAGTCCTCAGTCTCATCCAGCACTGTAGCTTGCATTGATCTTCCTTTGATAAAATAGTTTCAAACATGCCTTGAAGCCTTCAGCTGCAGGGTCATGTTTGCTGGCTGCCCTCATGTTTGGGACGTGATCTGAAATAGAAGCAAAATATTTATATTCTGTAAACTCTTGCAAATGTCAACAGACAGATTTCAGCTTATTTGAGAGGCTCTGGATCCATCACCTATGCACGTGCCTGATGCCTGCTCCAATGAATTCTAATTAGAACACATTGGAGTAGACAGAATCACATGTATTCTGAGGCATTTTTCCTAAAGCTTGTCAAACAAGCCATTTTGAAATATAGGATGTTGAATACACAAGACACTATGGGAGCATGTGTAGATGCCCACTTAACCCAGGCTTCTGACCACCAGCTCTTGGTTTGTTCTGCTTGTTAAATCTATCCTGTGTTGTCTGGACTTTTTTTGCAGAAACAGGGTGACAAACATCAAAAAGAGTGATAGCTTCATAGGGTAAATTCAAATAAGCCCTACAGAGTTAGTCAACCTATCTGGACTTAAAATTCTGTTTCACCTAAGGATACACTAATGCCATTTGACTGCAATTTTTGGCACTTACGCACAGCTTGGATTCTATTTGTATTTGCCTAGCCCTGTGCTTTCTTTTTAACCTTCATATGTTCCCATGGGGTAATTTCCTACCCCAGATAAATATTTTTTGTAGTATCTTAAAGTTAATTAATTCTAAAAAAAATTCTTTTTAGGACATTGTCACTGGCACTGCAGTGCACAATATCCCCAAAGAACAGCCAGCTTACATGAATGGTTTGCTCTCTGTGGAAGAAAAACTGCCCAGGGTAAAATGTTACTCCAGGCATGAATGTGTTTTTCCACATGGGGTAACAACTTACCCCAAGCCCATGTTAACGCATTGGAGTAACTTGTTACCCCAATGCAATTTCAGTATAAATGACAGGCCTAGACCTGTTTGGCCTCTTTGGGTGGATGCATCTGAAAGGTCAGCATTCTTTCACACCCCATTCATGCCCACTTCAGGTATCCGTGGTAACTAATAGAAGGCCATCATCCACTCTGGTTTTGCAGAAGTTGTGGTAATCACTTTTGCTAACCACTTTGTTTGCAGGCTGCAAGGTCATCAAAACACCCTGCCCTTTGCCAACCCTCCCCCCCCCTCCAAAAAAAACCAACCAGGTTTGTCACACCCAAATCCACCTCTGTTCTCTTTTCTCAGGGCAAAACTCCACCTCACCTGCCCCTTTCATAACATACAAGCTAGTTTGCCCTGCCTTTGCTGGAAGTAAGGACAAGGAGCAAAGGGACATCAGAGAAAAAATAGAACAACATCATACTGATATACAGAGTACACTATGGAGTCCCCTTTAATGGTAAGGGCTTGACACCCCCGTGTCCCTTTTACCTTCTCTCAATAAGCCCCTGCATGTGTGGTTTCCAAACAGCATCCACCCACATTTGGCTTGCCTGCAAGGGTTGGATGCTGCTCTCTGGTTTCTGTGCCCAGGAGGAGAGGGTGTTACCTGCGTTGCCATAGGGAAGGTTGGAATTGCTTCTGTGACAGCACAGGTGTTTCATAGTTTCATAGTTGGTAGGGTCGGAAGGGACCTGAGCAGATCATCAAGTCCAACCCCCTGCCATGGCAGGAAAGAATACCGAGGTCAAATGAACCCGGGCTAAGTGATTTATCTAGCCTTCTTTTGAAGACCCCCAGGATAGGAGCGAGCACCACTTCCCTTGGAAGTTGGCTCCAGCTCCTGGCCGCCCTGTGAAGTAGCACCTCCTGATGTCTAGCCTGAATCTACTCTCAGTCAACTTATGGCCATTGTTCCTTGTTACTCCCAGTAGTGCTAGGAGGAACAGGGACTCTCCCATTGCCTGCTGGTCCCCCTTGGTAAATTTGTAGATGGCCACCAGATCCCCTCTCAGCCTTCTCTTGTGGAGGGTGAAGAGGTTCAGGTCCCGTAGCCTCTCCTCGTAGGCCCTACCCTGCTGCCCCCGATCATGTGAATGGCCCTCCTCTGAACACTCTCGATGCTGTCTACATCCCTCCTGAAGTGCGGCACCCAGAACTGGACACAGTACTCCAACTGCGGCCTAACCAATGTCACATAGAGGGGAAGGATCACCTCCTTGGACCTGCTTGTGATGCACCTATGGATGCATGACATGATGCGGTTAGCCTTCCTGACCACTTCCCCACATTGGTGGCCCTTGTTCATCTTTGAGTCAACAGTGACCCCAAGATCCTTTTCTGCCTCTGTGCTGACAAGAAGGGAGTTCCCCAGCCTGTAGTATCCTGCTGGTTCTTCCTCCCCAGGTGCAGTACCTTGCACTTGTCAGAAACCCATCCTAATCTCATCCACTCACCTCCGTAACCTGTCCAGAGCTAGTTGTAGCCTGTCCCTCTCTTCTAGCATGCCCACTTCTCCCCACATCTTAGTGTCATCCACAAATTTGAACAAGGTGCTTTTCACCCCCTTGTCCAAGTCGCTGATGAAGATGTTGAACAGTGCGGGCCCGAGGACCGAGCCCTGGGGGACCCCACTGCCCACATCCCTCCAGGTCAAAAATGACCCGTCCAGCACCACTCTCTTGGTGTGGCCTTCCAGCCAGTTAGTGACCCATCTGACTGTGTAGGCATCAACGCCCAGTTTTTTTTAATGAGACTGGGGTGAAAGACAGTGTCAAAACCCTTCCTAAATTTTTTTAATCAGGATGGGGTGAGAGACAGCGTCGAAGGCCTTCCTAAAGTCCAGAAAGACTACATCCACTGCAACACCTGCATCCAAGGATTTTGTGACCTGGTCATAGAAGGTAACCAGGTTAGTCTGACAGGACTTGCCTCGAATGAACCCATGTTGGTTGCCCCTGAGCATAATCCCCGCTACTGGTCCCTTACAGATGTGCTCCTGGTTAATTTTCTCAAAGAGCTTCCCCAGGACTGAGGTAAGACGAACTGGCTTATAGTTTCCTGGGTCCTCTTTCCTCCCTTTTTTGAAAATGGGAACCATATTGGCCCCTTTCCAGTCCTCTGGCACCTCGCCAGAGCACCATGAGTGTTTGTAAAGCTGTGCCAGGGGTCCCGCAATGACCTTTGCCAATTCCCTCAGCACTCTGGGGTGGAGATCATTGGGACCTGCTGAGCTGAACACATCTAGTCCCTCCAGAAGTTCCCTGACTGGGTACTCACTGACCCTGGGCCTGGCTGCACCTCCCCTTGGTCCGTCTGGATTCCCAGTGTGGGGTATGTCTCTGACTCTACTCAGACAAATGGAAGAAAAGAAACTGTTAAAGAGATTAGCTTTCTCACCTGGTGCTACCACTGGATTACCAAGCATGTCCTGCAGTGGCCCCACATTACTTGGTACCTTCTTTTTACCCGCTATGTATTTAAAAAAGGACTTCTTGTTATCTTTGATCCAGGTCACTAGGTGGACAGGCTTGTCTTTGACTGTTTTTATATGCATTCAGCAGTAATCAAATTTTTCTTTTTATCTGAAGTCCAGGATGAGAAGGAAGTGCATACTCAGTGCTGAAGCCTGTCTTGCACAGGGAACCGGGGATAACAGTGACACATCCACTGATGAAATCTTATCCCAAGGCAGTGAAGATGCTGACTTTGTTCCAGACATGGCAGACTGTTCAGAGCAAGAAGGCATGTCTCTATGGAAGATTCCTCCAGCTCAGATGAGGAGAAGTTGGTGCCACAAGCAGAAGTGATGCCAACACTTCCAGTGGGAAAGGGAAGAGGACCAGTCTGGGGCTGCCACAGAAGACCAAGGAGAGCCACAGCAGGACATGGAGAAGAACCACTGCCACCACCCCAAAATACATTGCAGATGATGGCACCTTTAGAGGAAGAAATGGCAGTGTGTGGGGAAAAGGTCCACAGCTAATACATCGTCAGAGAACAGCCAAGGACATAGTCCATGAAAGTGCTGGGCCAACAAGAGAAAGTAATAAAGGCACAGTGGTGGAAACATTCCACCTGTTTCTCACAAGATATCCTGACTGTTATCATAAGAGAAACAAACAGAGAGGTAGAAAGAAGATTCAGGGAGTGGAATGACAGCCATCCTGAAAATAGAAAGGAGTAGAAAAAGCTGAACAAAACAGCTGAAAGCCTACATTGGCCTCCTAGTGCTGAGTGGTCTATACCACAGTGGTCAAGAGGCATTGGAGGAGTTGTAGGAGCAATATACCGGGCATCCTCGCTTCCATACCATGAGTTTAAAATGATTCCCTCAAATCACCAACTACCTGAGATTTGACAACAAACTGACATGTAAGGAAAGGAGAGCCGTGGACAAGCTTGCTGCCTTCAGATATATTTGGACACAATTTGTGAAGCAGCTCAGGAAATGGTATATCCCAGGAATACACCTGATGGTTGATGAGCTGCTCATTGTATTCAGGGGTCGCTGTCCCTTCAGGCAGTAGTATATGCCCAGCAAGCCTGCCAAATATGGCTTGAAAATTTGGTGGTGCTGTGATGCAGCAACGACATTCCCCTTGTCTGGAGACATCTACCTGGGCAAGCAACCTGAAGCTGCATGCCAAGGTAATCTTGGTACACGGGTCTTTGAAAAGCTGGTTCATCCCTGGTGCAAGAGGGGAAGGAATATTGTGGGTGACAAGGTCTTCACAAGTACTGACCTGGCAGAAAGACTGTAACTTTTTCATCTATTTTTGCTTTTGATGGGGAACTCACCCTAGTTTCCTATGTACCAAAGAAGTCCAAAGTTCTGCTGTTGCTGTCAAGCATGCACCATGACCTGTCATTGGGTGCATAGCAAAGAAAGACGAACATCATCCATGACTACAATAAAAACTAGGGTGGGGTGGAGAACCTTGACCACTCAGTCCATATGACCACCTGCAGATGGAAAATCACACTATTTTTCAATATGCTGGATGTGGCTGCCATTGCCAGCCACATCATTTGGGTAGGCGACAATGCAAACTGGAAGCAAAGGTCACATTTAAGAAGACAGTGCTTTTTTTTTGCAGGAGCTTGGAGAACAGTTGATCAACAGACAAATAAAACAAAGAATGATGGATACACGTAATCTGTCTAAGTTCATCAAGTCTGG